CCCCAAAACCCCAAAACCCCAAAACCCCTATTTTTCATGAATTGGCTGAAATAATATTTTAATAAAACTCAGAAATGAGTGTCAAAAGGCCACAGTATTTTAAAGGTTTGTGCTAAAAGGATTAAATTTCCTATCACAATTTGCTCTCGCTTTCTTAATCCGTACTTTCTATCCAACATTTTCTGACAATTTCAACAGTTATGTTCTCTTGAATGATAAATAACCTTGATTTTACAGAGTTATATTACTCTAAAAAAACACGATTCAGAGAGCCAAAAGGAAGGGAAGACATATTCAGATAGTTCTCTCTGATTCTAAAACCTTTGATACTCCTGTTCCTCAAGAAAGTACTACAAGTAAGAATAAATCTAATTTCGTGTTGATAATTCTAGTAAAATTCCTTATATTTATTAGGAAAATTCTATAATTTAAGCATATTTCTGCTATATTTTAACTAGAAATCTCTATTTCTATGATACAATTATGATAAAATTTAGACTAAGATTTAGGAGAGTTGAATAAAAAGATAGTTATTTCACACAAGAAGTTCAGTACATCAAATCTAAATGAATACGTGCTGTGTAGTTGGGAGTAAGTTTGCACTCTAATTGTCAGAACTCCTGAGAAGAGAAATATGCACACTCACAGTTTAAAGAAAGGGCAAATAAATAGAAGATATAGAAGAAATTCTAAGAAGAAGAAAGATAGAAGTAAAGATTTATTTGACCTTTAAAATTACTAAAATGAAAAATCGATAAAATCATTCAACAAAATAAACCCTCAGGCATTCCCTTCAAGATTTGTACAGGCACTCAGAGTAAGGTCAGCCTGCTGAATGATTATAGAGTCAGACCTCAAGCTGTGCGATAGCCCAGAGGAAGATTCAAGGATATTTACAACTTACTCGACACCAAAAGAAACAAAGAATTTTCTAAGCAGGCAAACTAAATTGAGGAAAAGCATTGGAGATATGAAACTTCAAAGATATCCGTCTAATAAATACTCTTCAACAACTTCTCAAAAGAGAAACTTTAGGGGGAAAGATTATTATTTGTCAGCAATACGAAAGAAGTTTGGAAAGAAGACCTCCAACCAAACCGAAAGTAGCAGTCATAGATTCAATTTCTCACTCCAAGCAAGTGAAGATATCTTCAGCAACAGAAAATCTCTAGAGAACTTCAGTCTAAAAACAGAAGAATTGTATGTGCTTGTTCTGACTCTTTAGTCTCAAAAGTACACATCAGAAAGAAAATGAAAGAGGTATCATGAAGTTGAGGAATAGCTATTTGAATGAACTAAAGAAAATAGCAGAAAGATATCTTATTATAAATAAACTGGATTTAGAAGACCCTGAAATACTGGATGCCCCTTCGATCACTCAGAGCTATTCCACCAAGATTAGCCATCCCAAGATATATAAACCAGGCTTAGGATTTAAAGACTTAAAGAAGTCACAGAAGAGCTCTTTTGTTTTTCTCAGGAATAATTCTAAGACTCCAAAATTATAGATGAAAATACAAATTTATTAAATCATAGGCCTTACAAGAACACGCCTTTACTGAGAAAGTCTCAGGATAAACCTGCTGGTGTGGAATCAAGAATATATGAGTGCAGGGCTTCAGTAGATCTTCACAGTAAGAATGTAATATCAGCACTTAGAAGCTTATTAGCTTACATCTTTAAATAAATTCAGATTTCTTAAAATATCCGGGGTTTTGGGGTTTTGGGGTTTTGGGG